CGGATGGATCAATTGATAAATACAAGGCTAGATTAGTAGCCAAAGGGTATAGACAAAAAGAAGGACTAGATTTCTTTGATACCTATTCACCCGTTACAAGAATTACGTCTATACGTGTCTTGATTGCAATCGCAGCATTGCATAATCTTGAAATACATCAAATGGATGTCAAAACCGCGTTTCTAAATGGTGAATTAGAAGAAGAAATCTACATGGAACAACCTGAAGGGTTTGTTGCACCAGGAAATGAAAAGAAGGTGTGTAGACTTGTAAAATCATTGTATGGATTGAAACAAGCACCGAAGCAATGGCATGAAAAGTTTGATAAAACTATGTTGTCAAATGGCTTTAAAATCAATGAATGTGACAAATGTGTCTACATTAAAAACGCACCTAATGAATATGTAATCATATGCCTATATGTTGACGATATGCTAATTATGGGAAATAACTCCAAAGTCATTTCCTCGACTAAGAAAATGTTAACAAAACATTTTGACATGAAGGATATGGGAGTGGCGGATGTAATATTAGGGATTAAAATCTCTAAGACATCCGATGGTTTGTCATTGTCTCAATCACATTATGTTGAGACTATACTTAAGAAATTTAAGGCGTATGACGATAAACCGGTTAAGTCACCAGTTGACTTAGGTATTTACTTAGCCAAGAATACTGGTGAGCCCGTATCTCAATTGGAATATTCGCGTGTCATTGGTAGTTTAATGTATATTACCAACTGCACAAGACCGGATATAGCATATATAGTCAACAAGTTGAGTAGATTCACTAGTAATCCAAATATTGTACGTTGGAAGGCATTAACCCGAGTTCTTAGATATTTAAGACACATGGTTGAATATGGATTACACTACTCAAAATATCCTGTGGTATTAGAAGGATATACTGATGCAAATTGGATATCTGACACTAAGGATTCAAAATCCACGAGTGGCTATGTATTTACCATTGGAGGTGGAGCCGTGTCCTGGAAATCGTCTAAGCAAACATGTATTGCTCGATCCACGATGGAATTTGAGTTTATTGCGTTAGACAAAGCCGGTGAAGAAGCAGAATGGCTTCGTAATTTTCTTGAAGAAATTCCATGTTGGGAAAAGCCGGTTTCTGCGATTAATATACATTGCGATAATCAGTCGGCAATAACAAGGGCACAAAATAGTATGTATAATGGTAAGTCTCGACATATCCGTCGGAGACATAATACCATTAAACAGTTAATATCGAATGGTATAATCTCTATTAACTATGTGAAGTCAAAAGAAAATTTGGCTGATCCTTTGACGAAAGGACTTGCAAGAGATCAAGTATACCATCTTTCGAGGGGAATGGGCCTAAAGCCTATCGAACAGAATTACTATGACGGAAACCCAACCTTGTAGATTGGAGATCCCAAGATCTTGGTTCAATGGGACAACTAAGTCATAAATGATTCGGAATAAAGCACTTATTTCCATTCCTAAAATTTAAAGTGCTATGTAAAATGTGTATAAGGATAAGTATACATATATACTTTTAATGATTCATAACCTTGAGATAGAAAGGTATGAGATCACCTATATAAGTGTGAAATGGGGCCGTTTCTACGAGAATTCGAGGCTTAATTCTCTTAGAGCACTTATGAAACCAAGAGTTGTCCAGGGTCAAAATGGACTCAACCATGAGAACCGAATAGGTTAGATGAGTCATGGTGTTGGTACAGTTGTTTGGTTTTACACGAACGGCTGGATGGTTCAAGACATCGCGTTCCCCAACTAGCCTAGTAAATCCGATTGTATTCAACTAAAGAAGGTTCAAGGCCACAAGCTACCTATCTTGATGCTACGACTTGTCGTGTGTACTCCGTTTGTTAGAGTCTGCATTTCATTTTCATTGCATTCGCTTTGTGTTGCGCATATCGAGGAATTTTCATTCATGTGGGGGATTGTTGGATATTGGTTAAATAAATTGAGAATTGAAAATCGATTAAAGTTCGTATCGAATTCGGCCAAATACTCAAAAGCCCGACTCAATCCGTTTAGGCAAAATTGTTTGCCACTTCGTCGCTTCGGGGCGTACAAACGGGGATCGACCTGCCCGGTCAGGTCGCGAGGGTCGAGGGGGCAGCGCCCCTCGTGGGGGGTCGGGGGCAACGCCCCCGAAAGAGAATTTTGATTTCTCTGCATGTATTGAAGGGTATATTTGGTATTTCGAAAACCAATATCGGATGAATGAGAAATTACGAAAAAGGCCTCAACCATTAGTGAATAGACACCTTTTCATAAAGGTGCATTATTTGGAAATGGTGCATGGTTTGGCCTCAACCATTTCGTCCAATCAAAATCATTTCATTTATTTTGATTTTCTTTCATTTCATCTGTGGAGTACATAAGCCTACATTTGGTTAGTTGTACTTGTGTTTTGGAGTGCTACAAACACAAGTGTAGCCGTTGTATCTTGGGAGTCGATTGCCGAAATCCGTAGGCACCGTTGCGGGGCAAATTCGACTTAAGGACAAAGAGTCCAACTCTTGCCTCGGCTTTGTCACCATCATTATACTTATTTCGGCGTCACTATTCACAAAATTCTTCCAACAATATGAACGTCAGAACATACTATTTTCGTATCAATTGTTACAATGGCAATATGATGAAGGCCCTAGAATATATAATATATCATCTATACCTTGTAAATTATCCTTGTTTGGCCCCCTATCTTCAAACTCATTTTCGTTCAAATTCTTTTTTAATCATACATTTTATGGTACTCACAACTTTATCAACTTTTTAAACCACGTTTTTATCATCTTTTATGAAAAATTACTAAAACTTTGATTTTTATCAAAATCAAACATGGGCTGAATAATGTTATTAGATAAAATATGTGTGCCATTGATGTGAAATTCTTGCCAACTAATTACGGTGCCCACAACTTTATCAACTTTTTAGACCACGTTTTTATCATCGTTTATGAAAAATTACTAAAATTTTGATTTTTTTAAATCAAAATCAAACATGGGCTAAATAATGTTATTAGATAACTATGTGTGCCATTGATGTGAAATTCTTGCCAACCAATTAGTGGTTTGAGAGAAAAACTTAGAATTTGTTAAGTGTATGTTTAATGTATCAAATATTATACAGTGTAACAAAAAATATATTTATCTAATCCTCCATAACGAACATTCTATGCGAGAATGAGATGAGTCAAGTGTAAGGGCAATCAAACAACTAAAGATCCTGGAGATCGGGTTAAAAAGGAAGTAATGAGGGTGAAAAAATTAGTTTAAGTGAATAATGAGGGTCAAAATACAAAATATTGATTGAAATTATACATTTTAAAAGCTGCTTTCTTTCGCTTAGCTCCCATAGTTTAGGGGATTTATTATCTGGTATCCTTGAGAAATGGGACCATAATCATTCCGAGGAACAACTTCTATGACAATGGATACTAGACAGGGGTTACGATCCTTTCACATAAAACAATTTTAAAATAAAGCATTTATTACCACATATTTCCTAGGATCTAAAATTTATAATCACTTCCCAAACATGCACTAAGTAACGCTCCTATTGCTTCACCAAGCACAACTAAAATAAACATAAAGTTCCTAGTCCAATAAAATGGCAAACAGAACACTATACACATTCCAGCCCATGTACAGTACTGACACATAACAAGAAAGAAATTATACAGGTAAACAAACAGAGAAATAGGCCAAGCAAAGCACAATCACCATTCAATTAATCTTCAAGAGAAACTCAACTCTATAGAATTTAGTCTCTAAAGTTTTATCAAGGATTCAAGGTCAGTCCAGCAGATACTATATCTGATCAGTAATAACATACTCTATTCATGTGGAGTTGGAGTCAGAGTGGGAGTCAGGGCCAGGAGCAGGAGCAGGAGCAGGAGCAGGAGCTCTTGACTCGTTGAGTTGCATAGATTTATTCACCATATCGGCCATATTGGGAGTTGTGTATGCACTAAAACTAGCATTATTTGCATCTGGAGCAGATAAATTAGTAGGGACAGCACTAGCAGAGCCCGTGTCTCTCTGTGCTTCGGCTCCCGGCACTACACTCCCTCTAGTTGTAGCTCTTTGATAAGCATGTGAGCTCATTCCCGAGAGTGCATAAGCTCGCCCTGCTCGGCTATACAACTGACGACTTCCCATTCTTCGTTCAGTTTCTTTAAGCTCGGATTCAAGCCAGATACTGAGACAGTCCCCTGCTTGGGCAGATATTGAAGCACGTATTCTTGTTCTCCTTGTTGTCAGTAGATCCCGAGCATCACTTAGATTTCCAGTCTCTGCAATCCTTTGAGCCTCTGCAATGCCTTCTGCTGCCGACAGGCGATTTCTCTGCCGATCCACTTCCAAGTAAACTGTGGTATCTGCAGGGGGCACAACTTTCGATCGATGTATTTCGACTAGGTCACCTTCTACACGCACTATCTCTTTTGATACAACATCTCTATAAGAACACATTATATCCAAAAGTAATGTCTTTCCCTCATTTTCTTCATCTATAGCAACTCGAAGTACTGGAACTGACAAGCTGATCAGAAATTCTTTTTCCTCGTCTGCATACAAGTCCCCAACGTTGATTACTGCTGGACATCCTTGCTCAGAGATTTCACTTCCATATCTTCCTGAAGGAATTGATATGATTTCAACACCATTTGATGCGATCTCATAGTTATTTGCATTTCTTGAACCATCACGCTTAGAAGACCACCTATACAGCTTGCAAAAGCATCTTGCACCATTTCATAAGACTCGATGAAGGAGAAGGTGCCACCTGATTCATCGAAAATGGCATGCATGGCAACAGGATCATGATTTGTACCAAAACCAAATGTGTGGACTACAAATGTTTGATGTTGGCTTTCATCTTGGCTTCCTCTGTTTCTAGGACAGATGGAACCAGGCAAAAGATGTAGATATTCGAGATTTTGTCCTGGATTTGAGGAATTTCAAAACATTGACCTATGTTAACAAGTATCCTTCCCATCAGATAAGAATATGATGCTAGCAACAGGATTCCATTGATGCCTTTCTTCAAGGACCCGAACCCCCTTCTTCAGACCTTCCACAATAGTAGTCAAACCACACGCTTGAAGTGAATCACAGCCCTTTTAGCATCTTCACGGCCATTGCTAGTCATTCTACGCAAGGGAAAGATTCTCTGAGCAGCAGACGAGAAAGAAACTATCGAAAGTCATCAGACGGGCCCAAAGGTATCTATGACAAAGTGAATAGCACGCTTCAGAAGACGTAACTTTGAGCCGTACATGCTGCCACTAACATCTAGTACAATAACAAGGTCAATAGGTGCACGCTCAAGGTGACGTGCATTATCTGGTAATGGAGGTGCACGTACTCCAACAAGAACTGCAAATGGAAGGATGGATTCTGAAGCTGCAATCACGGAACGCTCAGGAATGGACTTTATATTGACACTTTGCAGACCAGTAAGTGAAGCAGAAGATGTAGGATCAGCAGCGATTGTTGTAAGGGTTCATCATCAGAGAAAACAAGGGACTCACGCTCAGATGGAGGGGGTGGCAGCACCGATTGTTGAGATACATTGGAGAAGGAAGTAGGGAATTGTGGGAGAGGAATGTTAGTGTCGGATTTGGGCATGGTGAATGGGAGACAATTCCATTTGGCACGGCAAATAGGGCAATTGTAATAGCCATGTAACACTGTTGCCAATGCAGCTGAAGTGGAAGAAATGGGAGCACTCGGCTGTAAATATGGCTTGCCCTTTTGTCACAGTACCCAAGCAAATAGCACACGTACTCTGCAACGAAAATGAAATTTTAAAAGCAAGCAACTTACAAATTAGGAAATTATTTATTACCTGTGCAACTCATATAGGGTAACTTAACAACAAAAGTTTAAATATGTAACAGAACAGTACATAAGATTGAAAGAAAAATATTATGCAGAAAGTCAGAATGAACCTGAAAAGACACAAAGTGTTCTGCTCAAGCCATGTTATCAATTACAACTGAGATCTATGGGTGAATTTTTCTTGTTAATTAACTATAGAAGGTAAAACTTTAATCTAAACCAAATAAAATAAAATTCGGTTTGATATCATATAGTTGGATCTTATTAACTTCCAATTTTTGCTTCAAAAGAATGCCAATATTCTATCCATCAAAAGGGATAAGGCTACTACAATTCATCAATTAACCCTACTGATCCAGGGCGGATTCAAAAAACTCAGGATATTTGGACGATGTTTTGGCACATATTAAAAAGCACGTTTTGGGGCGAGCTGATTATGGACTATAATAACCATTACTTCAACACAAGACTATCTCTTAAGCAGTCCAACATTGGTTTTATCGCGCATACAACAGTGAAATCTTCACTTGAAATTCAACCTTTCCATGTAAAGATCATTTCCTTCACGGGAAAGTTCACCCCCTCTGTGAAACGCAGATTGACGAGACAGCCATTAAATAGAATTCCAAACATTGATTAATAAAATCTACTAATAAAAATAGATCACTAAATGTTACATGAAACCCTGGTTACCCAGTAAAACAAAACATCTTCTTCTCCAACCCACTAAACCAAGTCAATAAGTATCAACTTCTTTTACACCAAGACAGGAAGGACCAAAATTATATATAAACTTTGAGGAAACCCCATAAAAAAATTCAAAACAAAAAAAAAAATAAAATAAAAATCGTGGCATTCTAAGCAATTCAATATCGTAGGCGTAAATTAAAGTTTAAAACATTGAATTCTGATAGAAACAACTAATTTTTGAAGAGTAAACGAATTTTCTTGTCAAGTCAACCCATTTACCCGATTATCATAACGGTTGAAGCACCCTACACATGATCGGCGACTTCAAAGAAAATCAAGAACATGTTCATTCATATTTTACATAAATATATGCATTTGTACGTATAATATACACACAGTGACGAAAGCATAATGGAAGAAAACTTACATTTTCTGTTGAAGAACTCATGGTTTCTTGCGTTGGTGTGGTTCGGTGGGTTATGGAATATGAATACACAGCAAAAATGAGGTGGGCCCACTAATTTGCCTACGTGTTTTTTTCTTAAAAAAAAGGTTAAACCCTAACCTCAAGGGTCCCCCACCACTCCTACCCTGGAGCATCGTGAGGGAGGTAAATCGCAGGTGATACCTCCAAGGGTACAAGGTGGAAGGCTGCTTGTACACTTGCACTTACCCAAGAGCCAAATTCATATTTCAGGATTCGAACCCTTGACACAGCAGCCTCAAGTAAAGTTGGATTTCTCCACCCTCCCCTTTTACCACTTGGAGATGTGCCCTGGGGGCACCTACGTGTTCTTTTCTTCTTAAGTTTTAACGTTGTCATTGGATTCATGTCTGAATAGTCGCGTTTAAAGACGCTTTGGTTATGTTGACTTTCTTCGTAACATTTTAACTACTGGATTGACTTATTGGAAGCCAAATAATTAAATTCTATAAATCAGAGTGGAAAATTGAACCAGCAATGGTTCATTCTATGCTTACCATCATATTGAGTTCCTCCTTCTATACTACCTCGGGGAACTTACAGATATACTTTAAATTTTGAAGGAAATTCAATTTCCTATAGATCCTTACCGGCCCCTCATTGTAGGGGTCGGTCCCACATAAAAAAAAAAAAAGAAAAGAAAAAGTCGGGGCCTACACTATGAGGGTTTGTAAAGCAGACCATTGTAAGTATAGCAGGGCTGAATTTTGAATTATTCTACTTGTAAATCAAATATTATATCAAGAGTCATATAATGTACTAATGACATTATGTAATTGTTTAATTTCCACCGACCAATTACATAATGCTACTTGTGCATTATGTAACATTGATGCACATGTAGCAAACTTTTTAAATTTTTGGGTCCTGTTAAAAAATCATTAAAAATATAGACTTAAATACAAGCTCAAAAATCAAAATCCTACAAACTCAAAATCAAGCAAAATCAAAATCATACGAGGAAATCTTGCACAAATCAAGTATAAACAAGATCAAATGATGCTTCAACTTTCCTTTCTTTTAAGTTTTCTTCCCCAAATTTGCAATAATGAAACCAAATCTACATGTTTGTATTATCTTTAATTCAATTAGTTCATATATATATTTTTTTATTTTGATTTTTTCCCCTTGTACATATGAAATTTCATCGTTAGATTAATAATTTTGAATGAGTATATACTAAAATTTAGATTTGTATGAATTAGATTGAACTAGTATATATGAAAAATCAACTTTGGACAAATTAATGTGTGAGAGCAAGGTGTTTGTGAAAAATAAGAATTCAGAAAAGTTACATTCTCTATCACATCTCTTTTAAGGTGGTAATCTACCTCATTTGAATTCCTTTGTATTAATTGAATAAATGCATACATGTATCTTTGTGAATATTTAAATATATGAATATGAATTCAAACTTTGTTTTACAATAAAAAATAATATGATGTAACAATTTATTTGTATTTTGAATATGAATTAAGTTGCTAAAACTTGAAAGTGACATTTTCTGTCACTTTTTTTTTTTTAAAGGTTGCAGTATCTCATTTAAATTCTTTTGGATCAATCTATATGTGTTTGTGTGAAAATTTAAATGTGAATATGAATTCAAATATTGCTTTAAAGTAAAACATGATTCATGTAATAATTTGTTTGTCTTTTGCATATGAATTGTGGTGAAGTTTAAAAGTGATATGTTTTGTCAGTTTTTTTAAAAAGGTCTCACGCTATTTTATTTGTAATTTTTTCGTATATATGGATAAAATTAATGTCTTCATCCATTTATGGAGATAAATAGGTTCAAGATAACGAATATAAAAAGTGACAAAATGACTGGAATTATTATTCCAATAGAATGCACATATTATAACCTTTGTTAAAATGTACATATAATTTTTTTGTTGATGTCATTTTTTTAAGCTAATTTTAATACCGTTAAAAACAGATAAAATTATTATTGTCATTGGTATGCAATTGCATCAATAAAATAATTGGTTTATCCTTATATTTACACATAAGTTAACTTAGGCAACAATTTTATGAATTTCAAAGTGTATCATGTTACTTTTGTGAAGGAGATAATGTATATCACTGTTAAAAAGTATATGTCACTTTTTCATAAAAAAAGTAACTGCATGTCTCTTTAAACCAATATTACTAATGTATAATCAACTCTCAATCCTATAAAAAGAGATAAGAAAGACTATTAAATTAAAGTGACAAAAATTAAGAAAAAATGGTAAGTACTCAAAAAAGTGACAGAATCATTTTATGGGCTTTCGGGATTTAGAGTTTTGGAAGTAATTAATACGAAAATTTTAATTCTAATTAGTTTTAAGAGTATTAATTAATTTAATATCTTATGTTTTGGGGGTATTTATAATTGTTTAAGTATATATTCTGTTTTGCTCTTAAACAATTATTTGATTTTAGGATCGGTTTGATCAAGTTGTTAATAGATCCGAATTGGACCAAATATGTCCGTTCTACTTAAATAGATCGTGGTATATGTTTTAGAATCAAACAATCTGACACGTACTTAGATCTAGCTTAGAAACAAATTTTTATTCGTTTCCAAAAATATATTTTTATAATTTTCATTTAAATCATAATTTATATAAATTCGTATGTAATTAGGATAATTGAGAGTTTTATAGATTAAGATATAAAACATTAGTCTAATATCAGCAAATTTATGCAACTGTTTAAATTTTAAAAAGGGAAAATGACATAAGTACGAGTTTAAGTATCACACATTTAAAAAAAAAAGTTTCAAACTTCAAAAATCAGATTTTTATTAAAATTTATTTGTAATTTAATTAATTAAATAAATTTAGGTCACAGACCTACACAATTTGATCACAAATTAACGATTTAATTAATCACTTATTTTTTTTTGTCACAAATCAAAAATTTTAGGTCACAAATTATCTTATTATCACAATTTAAAAATTTTATAGGCCACAATTTGTTCATCGATCATAAATCAAAAAATTTATAGGTCACGATTTATTTATTAGTCACAAATCATAAATATTATAAATCACAACCTATTATAAAATCACAAATTATCAAATTATCGATCACAGATTAAAAAATTTTTAGATCACACATTACTTATTGGTCACAATTTATTTTTTTATTGGTCACATATTATTTATTGGTAACAGATTAACCAGTTTAATGGTTATAGTTAATCAAATAATTTGTGACCATCACCAACAACGACCAACATCTCACCATTGCCTCCAGCAGCAGCAGCACCAGCACCACCACCACAAACAAATCAATCCATCACAAAAAACACCATCACATCGCCACCCACGACCACCACACAACACAGAAATACAAAAACCAACCAAAATAATGTCATCACACAACCAAGCTTGGACTTCACAGTAACCATATCGCTGCACCACTATGACCACCAACTCACCGGATCGCGACCAAATCGTTGCATCGCCATAACACCCGGCACCAGATCGCAAGTGCTATGCGCACACGTGACCACCACCGCTACTAGGGATGACAACAAGTCGAGCTTTTGCTCGGCCAAAAAATTTCAACTTGGGCTTTTCCATGCCGGCTCGTTTCTTTTTTTTTTCCTTACTCTGCATTGGATCTTTTTTTTCTCTTTTCTTGAAAGGTAGAATTCAATTATGCCATTTTAAAGGCAGCAGCAATTCTGCCTTTTATGCCCTTTTTTCCTTTTTTTTTTTATTAATAATGCTCGTGGGCCGGCTCGGGCTTGGCCTGTGTCTCCAAAATTGGGCTTGGTTGCTCTGAGCCAAGAGGCGGGCCGGCTCGAGCTTTTCCCGAGTTGTCGAGCCTTTTTGACACCCCTAACCACCA